AGAGAGAGAGAGATATGGATGAAACATTAAACTTTTGACAAACTTTGATAATGACAAGTTACATAAAATAGGTGTAATCAAATAGTTAGTTAGATTTATAAAAGGTAAAAGATAGAGAAAAAGAAAATGATTATCAATATCTCAACTATCCCAATAACTTGATGAGCTCAGAAAAGCATGAAAAGAGAATATTTAGATCTGAATTGATGATAGTAAATTCATCGAATTGTATATACAATTACATTCATTGAATTCTATATACAATTACATTCATTGAATTCTATATACAATTACATTCATTGAATTCTATATACAATTACATTCATCCTCTCATTTCTAATGTAAGATTTACTGTGGAATTGAATAAGGAAGTAGAGACACTTGAAACCGTCAACTATAAGCTTTTTTTTTTTTTTCTTTTAGCTAATAGCCCTTTCAAAACCCTCAATTTTAGTTTCTTTGTTTGGGACAAAAGCTTTGAATCATTATTATCCTTTGGATACGTTTGGACATGTTGACGAGGTTAGTTTAGAAGGGGTAATCCAATTTTGCTCTCCCTTTTCATTTATGTTATTCAATTGAAGAAATATGAAATCATATGCTTATCTTTATTCTTAACAAAATGATTCCCTTTGACTATCTATAATATATAACAACCTTTTTAATCTGAATTTGTTTTAAAATTATGTGTTTCCAAAATTTTCTTAGGCCATATTTTTCTAAAGAAGTTACTTGTACTCTCATTAGAAAGAGGGGGGAGATCACATTTGTTAACGTTGTTGGGGTTAACAAAATCAAATGCTATCAAACTACTTATAAATTTCAACTTATATCTTTCTAAAATTTCCCTTCAAAATAAAGTCTTAAAACTTTTTTTTCTTAACTTTTATATACCATATAATTGTAGATTTTTTCGAAGTTCATATAAATTGCACCAAAACAAAGTCACAATTTAAGGATAACCAATTTAGTTGTTAATTAATTACATTAATTCTTCTGATCTTTTTTTTTGAATGTTTGATTAAGCTTAATTATGAGTTCATTAGTTTAAAGTTTAAAGTTATTCACCTTTTTATTAGAACATCAATTATATTTAATGGAAAAAATTGTTCAAAATCATTTTCAAATTATTTCTACTCGTATAATGAATTGTTTCTAAACCAAAATTAGGAAAATAATTTATGTGACGGACATGAAGAGATAAAAAGTTAAATACAAATGGATAATACTTTTTTCCTGTAAAAGTTTATGTGGTTGAGATAGAAATTTTTTAGATGAATGTTTCGATAAAAAAATATTTTTATTTATGAATAATTATATATAACTTTGATAGAGTATAAAATGAGGAAGAATTACTTAATTTGGTATAAAAATGTTTAAATCAGGCTATAAGTTACGTTGATAGAAAAGGCGGGTAGCAGAAGATCAAAAATGTATTTTACTAAACATATAAATTAAAATTTTAAATATTCTTGATATAACTAAGGATTCAATGATCAAAAAAATTCTATACAGATGACCCAAATTAGTTGGTGCATGCTTGTTTTTTTTTTGGGTAAAATTTGATGTAACTAATAGATCGAAGAAGGTAAAAAAAATGTTTTATTAAAATTTATAAGTAATCTTGATACAACTAAAGTTATTGCTTTATATGGAGTTCAATAAACAAAAAATTTCATATAGTTGAACAAATTTGTTGAGATGGCTTGTTGTTTTTCTTTTGGTTTTTGAAAAACTTGATCCATTTTTATACCTAAAGGATCATTTTGATATTTCAAAATATAATACCCTAAAACCATTTTTAAAATAAACATGATTATTTTCAAAGGCCACCACCACACAAATAGGCTAGAAAGGCATAACTAAGTATGTAATAGGTTGTTGTGCCACAAGATTATTACCTCTAGTGTTTTATCCATATCATTTCTTTCTCAAAGATTTCAAACTTTGTTAAAGAAGATATTCATTAATGGCAGTAGACCAACTACTTCATCCACATTGATTATATGAACAAAATAGTTGCATTTATGAACATGAAGCGATTATTCACTATGTATATACATGCATGTATATATTTATATATGTATATATGTATATATATACATATATACATAGATACATACATATATATATATATACATATATATATATATATAATCATCAATTAACTGTGTTAGATAGAATTCCTCTAATATATTGATAAGGGAAAATAGATGAGGTAGACCCTAAATTTTGAGTTAAACGTTGCTCCCAAATGTTTAGATAAAAAACTAATTAAATGACACTTATGTTCAAGAATGAAAGTACTAAAAAAGAGTAATAATTTCAATAAGTAACATCCAAGGAGCCCAAATGATTGAAACATAGCTTTTGAATCTGATTAATTTTGTTTTGACTGACTTGTAATTCAATACATTGATCAATTTATGACAAATTACAAAGGAATAAACAGTTCATAATATGGTCTCACAGCACCCAAGATCTTTAATGGGATTCAAAGTATGATTAAGATGTCATTACAAAATAAAAATTCATCAGAATAATAAATTTGAAATTAAAAAAGGATGCGTATAACCAAAATAGAGCAATTAGAAGAAAAAAAAAAAAAAAGGAAGAAAAGGTATATGCTCATCCACACCAAATAATAAAAAACATAGAATTATATCCTCATATATGTTTCTTCTTTTCTTTGCCTTAGGGAAAAAGAGATATAACTTTGTGGAGGAAACTTTTAATGTTGAAGGAGAATAAATAGAGATATAAAGATTAAGATTTCTTGTTTTATTAATTTCATTAAGTATCACAATTAGGTATTAAGAAGTTTTATGTCAAAGCCTATATGGTTATGTATTACCAAATAAATGTAATTATATTTAATTAATTAGAATAATCTTTTTAACTGTTACGGAAAATAAAATATAATATTTTGAACAAGTGAAATAATTAAGATTATGATAAATATATGTTTTTACCATGGTTAGGTCTATAAAAAAAAATCTGCTTGAATTTGAATCATTGACTCAAAATTCAAGTTTCCTCTCTTTTTCAATGTAGGATCAAATTGGATCATGGTTTTCTACTTAGATCCAAAATATTCATATTATTATCGAGAAATTACAGTTCTAGAAGGTTCTTTTTCCTAGTATTTTAGAATTTTTGTAAAAAATTCTAGAACACTTGTGATCCATTTTGTGAAAAAATAAATATATGTGTATATCTTGTAGATATACATGAATTGTAAATATTACTTAAGATATTAGATGAAATTTATTAAAGAAAATTACAACAATCAAATGGTCTTTTGATTTAAAGAAATTTTCAACCCATTATGTTCATAATAAACAATAACTCACAGTGTGGCAATATGAATTTGATCCTAAAGTGCAAATGGATCGTTAAACAGCCACTTCAATCCAAGTTATATAATCAATCAGATCCGGAGCTAACATTCACGAATCGCCAAGCTTCCGTGATCGGATCATTGCCGCATCGAACATTCGGATTCGGGTCTAACGTTCACGACTTACAAAGCTTACGTGATCGGATCATGACCCGACTTGTCAACAAGCGACCGGATAAAGAAGGCTTAGGAAATTGAATCCCATGAAGACCGCTTTTATAACGGCGACGACTCCTCCCCTCGGTCGCATAACTCTCGATTACTTGCCCTTTTTCTACGTCTCCATCATCTCAGATCGCGGTGGCGATCGTCGGAGGGATCAGGGAAGTGGAAGGGATTGCTAACAGCGCCAAGATCGAGCAGCTCGCCCGCTTTGCCGTCGACGAACGTAACAAGAAAGAGGTCTTTTCTAAATTTCTTTCCTTTTCCCTTTTGGTGTGGTTTCACTTTTTTTTTTTTTTTTCTGGAAAATAGTAATTTGATCATAATTTTCTTTTCTACAAGTGTTGTATGATTCCCAAAATTGTGTTTTTTCTGGAATTTTTTTATAGCTTTTCTTTTTTAAAAAAACCCTTTTTTTTTTTTTCTTGATTTCGTACTCCACTTCAATCTGTTCACGAGATCGAAAAACCCTAAATTTGAGATTATGTTTCTTGTAATCGGTCTTTCTTTGTACATGTTTTCCTGGGATGTTTATTGTGTTGGTTGATTCAAAGTACTTAAATCTCTTTGTGTGTTGATGAAGACTGCTCTCTTGGAGTTCTTGGTGCGCGTGGTCAAGGCGAAGGAGCGGGTGGTTGCAAGGGGCCCTGCACCAGTTGACCGTCGAGGCCGTCGATGCAGGGAAGAAGAAGGTCGACGAGGCCAAGGTGTGGGTCAAGCCATGGCTCAACTTCAAGGAGCTGCAGGAGTTCAGGCACGCTGCGGACTCGGGCCTAAGGATCATGGTCTTGGGCAAGGTAAGACGATGTTGTGAGACCACATGTTGCTTACGAGTTGGTATTTATCATATGTCTAGCAAGTATTATGATGTTTGCAAGACCACAAGCAGGCATTTTTTTATGTATAGGAGATAATTTTCGTTGTTGCAAGACCACTGTTCGTTTGCAATAAGACATTTTATTCTGTGAATTAGGTTCTTTGATGTTGTGAGACCACACTGTGTTTTGCAAGTAGGCTATTTATTAGTAGTATTGCCTGAATCTTGGATAAAAGCAATATTTTTTACATACAATCTTGCTAAAGCTTCAAACAACAACTCCCATAATAGGTGATGAATGAAGATTTATTTTTTATTAAAAAAATTTCTAGTGTTGAAGATAGAGATTAGTAAAGGTCTTATGTTCCAGTCGATAATGTTATATTCACATGGAATCAAAGGGACGAAAGATTCTTGACATGGCATCACGTACTCCCTGGAGGAACATTACAGAAGATTCTTCAAACAATCACGAGGTAGAATCACAGGGAGTCTCCCGACTCGTAGGTATAAAATTATGAAGGGTTCTCAAACAATCTGCTCCAGATACTATCAGACAAATTACGTCTGATTGCGTCACGTAGCCCCCCGTCCCCACCAGTTTCGCATATGTCCCAAAATGCTGCCATGTGGAATGCATTCCGATTCTTTACTTCGTCCGTGTGTCCGTCGTTGCCAATTCAACGTTGGTTGGCCGAGCATTATTGGAACGGAGATTAGGCCGTTCTTTGTCTGGTGAGTTAGGGGAGTGTGCTTTATATGGTTTGTTCTACACACCCTCCTCTTTTCCAAAACTCGGTCAGAAAACAACAATGAAACGATGGCAATTTATCCAAAAAGAAAAATCTTAATAGTAAGATTTTAGTGGTTGATGCCGGAGATTTTTTTATTCTAAAACCAAAATATTCTTTATAAAATTAAAAAAAATACTCGATGGCCATCGAACCAAAATACTTTTTTGGATTGAACCAATTTGATGGACTTGAATCAAGCCTAATTTATAGTTTAATTAGAACTTTAAGTATTTGATTTATTTTTATTAGGGCCTTGATTATCCTCTTCTTTTTTTCAAATCACTTTGCTATCCCATTCTACCAATGCAATAGCACCATCGAAGGTCATCATTGCCAACCTTCTTGCTGGTGGTAGCCAGCAACATCACGGTCGTCGTCGCCGTCATAGTTGCCAACAAGAAGAAGGGATCACACGAGCCTTAGTCGTCTAAGGCGACAACAAGTGAGTGCCATCGGAAAAGAGAAGAAGGGGGTCCTACTTATGGTGTTGGTGGTGGCGTTGTCGTCATCAACTTCTTGCCAACAGGCTATCGCTTGAGAGGAGAGGAAGGGGGGGTCTCAATCGTCGTCACCAATGATGCAAAAGGTGGACGTTGCCTTCATGACAATAGTACATCGACCTTCTTGTTATTCGCCATCGTTGTGGTCGTCAGTTGAGCATTCAACGTCAACGATTAGTGGGGCAACCAAGCTATGTAGCATAACTGTCATCATTCGCCTTCCCGTTGGTCGTCATGACCATGTCCATGAGCCTCGGTGATGAGTGGTCGCCAACATCGACATTCTCCTTTTGGTTCGTGTCTATGGTCACCATCGCCAATGAAGTCATCTATTGAGCCATGAGGATTAGTTGGGCAACAGAAGTATAGCATAGCTATCGTCAATGTCCCGAGAGGTGGCCATCGCTGACGTCCTTATTCCTGTGGGTATTTGTTGCCTTCAACAAAACCTTGCAGAGCCTCGGTGATCAATAGTTCATCGTCATATCCTCATTTAGTTTTTGTACAACTTTATTGAATCGTTATATGATTTATCATAATATTGATAAAACATTTGCAGTGTCAATAAAACCTCGACACTATCCTTTGTTGTGTCACTAAAGTGTTTGCTGCATTGGCCTATCGTTCAATGCATCGTGAACCATTTACCGCAACAACAAAAAATATTTAGTGTTAAATGAACATATCATTGTAGTTTAGTCTTGCTAATGTAGAATGCTATTTAAGTATAGACTACTTACGATAAGGATAGTATACCTATACAAGTATGTGTATATAAATTTTTGATAATTGTACTGTACCATTATAAGACATTATAAGCTTGTGATAATTTCAAATCTAAAGTTACCATTTTACAATTGATGTTACAATCCTTTTATATTTTTATTTTTAATAATATTTACATAGTAAATTTTAGGATATTTTTTATTGAGATATATTTTGTTCAGGTCATCGCATGCCAAATTTTATTAATTACACTAAAATCATAAAAAAAATAAAAAAATAATAATAGTAATCAACTTAGAATCATGTCATAGTAGTTTTTAATAAATTTTGATTGATTATATTCATTATAGCTTAAGTTACATTCGACCACAGCTTCACTTCAGACCCCTAGTATAACATTATCCATTTGTGGTGGTACCACTAGATAGGCAATGGTACCACCCTAGACTAATGTTCTACTAATGTAGGGTGATGGTCCTGTCCTAAACTAGGTGATAGTATCACCAAAAATTAAATTAGGAAAAATAACACTAAACATATTAGAATTATGTTATGATTGTTATAAAGAAGTTTCAATAAGTTTAAAGAAAAAGTAAAATTATACTCGAGTTCCACTCACGTTATGATCACAAATTCAATCCCACACATGTTAAAATGATGTTATTATATCAACCTAGAAGTTTGGGTAAGTTTTGAGATAATTCGTTCTTTAAACTGAAGTTACACTCGGTTACTAAATAAAAATAAAATTTCCCTTATTTCAATAATTAATGATCTAAAATAAAAAAATTGATACTAAACATTTTAGGATCATGTTATAATAATTTTGGAGAGGTTTAAATAGGTTTGGGGACAATTCTCCTATTTACACTTGAGTTACACTCAAGTTACATTTGATTATAAATTCAATAAAAAAAATCATATTTCAATAATTAATGACATAAAATCAAGAAAAATAAAAATTAATACTAAACATTTTAAGATCATGTTATGATAGTTTTAGATAGGTTTGAGGATAATTCCCTTATTTTCACTTGGATTACACTCAATCGCAGATTAGATCCAAGATATCTTTATTAAACATGACATAAATCACAATAGAAACACTTGTTCACAATAACATTAAAGCAATTCATAAACCAAACAAATTGTCAATACGACATGGAAGCAATTTACAATAACATTAATCAGATTACCAACATGACATCATATTATCAAACAATTTGTATAAGAATAGAGGCAATCATATAAGATAATTTGTACGACATCACATTGTAGATGTAACAATGACCATTAATTATATATTATAGAGGAGGTGATACAGTAGTTGACGAAGCATAGGGCGGTGAACGAGGGAGTGACGTAAGAGGGGATGATGAAGAATGGGAAGGGAGGAATGGGTGATTTAGGCTTCTTTGACTTAAAAACAAAGCATTAATTGCGTATAACTTAATAATATATATATATATATATATATATATATATATATTACCCCCAAGTCGAAACGATCTACATAATGATATCATTCAATTTATATACAAAACTAAATATTATAAATGGAGAATATTATATTCAAAATTTAAGTAAATGCAAGAAAAAAGTTAGAGAAATTGACTATTCTAAATTATTAGTTTCTACAAATTATTTTCACCGGGCAAAATATACGAGTATTTGTTCAATTTCATCAATTAAAATAAGAATTGTAAACCCACTAAGATAATTCTACAATCACTAAAATGATATTTTAGAAAAGTTATCAATACAAAAACATGAGAAATGTTATTTCTTCATAGAGAAAGCTATATTTATAATTTCACCCTTGATTGTAACTAAAAATAAGAATTAATCGATTCAAACCTCATCATGAACATAAAAAACTATTAATGATAATCCTAGAAGGTGCTCTTGAATACCTCCACTATGCTTATTGATCCAGACTCAAAATCTTCATCTCAACAATAAAAAATTCACCAACAAAGAACTGCTTTTAGTTTTAGATCGTCGATCTCCCCTTGTTTCGCCAAAAACTAATAAAACTCTTAAGTGATGTCAAAAATATAAATATCAATAATTAGTAAACAGTCAACTATTTTTATCATATAAACATGCAAAACCTCTAAGGATGCAAAACCTCTAAGGACTTTCATAATATCAATAATATTAGCACACATACTTAATGGATCTACGAGAAAAATCAATTTAAAAAAAAATTATCACTTTTTCTTTAAAAAAAGAGATGTTTACTGCTAGAGAGGAGAGGATGTTGTCGTTGATAAAGATACTATCGTTTATAGTCGGAGAGGAGATGAGATCATCGCCACTTAATGATGTTGTCAATGCAATCACGATAGATAAGTCGATGCCAAAGAAGGGAGGATGTTGTCGCTGTTTGCAAGTACCAGAGAGAAGCAAAAGAGTTCGCTATTGTCATTTATCACCAAAGAGGAGCAGAGAAGTTTATCATTGCTAGAGATGAGAGGATATCGTCGTCATTTACAAATACTAAAGAGGAGTAGAGGAGTTTACCATCATCATTCACCATAAAAAAGGAGCAAAGGAGGTTGCCGTCATTAGAGAGGGGAGGATGTTTTCGCCATTCGCAAATACAAAGAGGAGTAGAGGAGTTCGTCATCGTTGGAGAGGGGAGAAAGTTATCACCATTCACAAATACCAAAGAGAAGTAGAGGAGTTCACTATAATTGTAGAGGGGAGGATGTCATCATCGGTCATAAATACCAAAGAGGAGTAAAGGAGTTCAACGCCATTAGAGAGGGGAGGATGCTATTGTCATTTGTCACGGAAGAGGAGCAAAAGAGAGGAGCGCTAACAGACAATTACATTAGGGTTATACTCATTCGGTGTAACCATTGTATAACCCCCATGCCTTTTGATTCAAACTCGACCCGATCCACTTTATAGGATCCAACCTGAATCCATTTGTTTTAGACCCAATTAGCCCTTAGATCAATCGGGTATGAATCAAATCATTTGGTTCAATAAAAAGGGTCAACCTGATTTCAAAGACATTCTAGATATTTGATATTTTAAATAAAATGATTGGCCATGGTAAAAACCAAAGATGAGCAAATTATCTCGTAAAACCTCATTATTAAAAAAAATAGTTAAATTGCCCATCATACAATACATATATATTTTTTAATCAGGCAATGGGTGCATGTTAGCATGTTATATTGATTGATATTTGACTAAGCGTATAACACATTTCTATCAAGAAATACTTCAAGACACGAGGAGAAGCCATTCTTAATTATATTTCAACATCTCCTGAAACAAAATAGCATAAGGGAAAATGAAAGCAAGGTTAAATTACAACTTAATTTCTACTTAAAATTATCATGTATTAATTTCTATTTATTACATAAATATATTCTTAGAAAACAAGACATATGGAATTGGGTCTATAATTAAGGGATATGAGATACAATAACAATTAGTAAGCTTCAGCATATGTTGAGTAACATAATCAATGTCCTATAAAAGTAATAGTCACTAGTCACCTCTTCCTGTCTTATAAAAGTCAATAGTCATTTCTACCATCATAGGCGTCCTTTAGGGTCTAACTCAAAAGAACAAACCACACAGAACCGACACAGAATAGACTGACCAAGGACTAACGGAGATGAAACTCTTATATAATTTCATATATAGTTAAGAATTGAAACACGATCTAATGATATCATATTTCAAAAGTATCATAGAGATCCCCTGTCACGTAAAATGGTTAAAAAATAAGCATTTTATGAAGCGTATCTATTTCTATATTTTATATTCCTATGGACATTTTTATATTATGTTTACTTAACACATTCTAATATTATGATGGGTATATAAATAAAAGTACATTTTTTATACTACTTAAATAGGATCATAATACTCCCAACTTTTTGATAGCTCACAAAGCACATGAAAGGTAATCGTGGTTCAAAAGTGTTCCACATAACCATAGCTATTCAAATGTTTCTCTTGGCAGAGAAAACGTAATTCTAGGTTTGACAAGATAAGAGCTATACAAAAAAAAAAAAAAAAAAAAAAAATACAGACCCCGTCAAGGAAATGTGTTCCACAAATCAAAGCACATGATAAGAATGGAAAAAAAAAAGGTTCAGAGAATGGATCCCAAATTTTGGTTACAAACCTTGTATTATTATAATCACTAAAAGAGATCATTTCTAAAATAATATCCTCACCAGTACAGTGCTTGATAAAGATATGCAGCGAAAGACACGACAAAGATTTCAATGCATGCATCCAAAGTAAACGTTGTTCCTACAATAGTACTATCTTGCAGATATTTACATATAGAATAACTATGCGACCCTAAATTCGTAATAGACTCTCTAAGCATATCGTCAGATCATAATGTCTTAATTATTACGTATCCAACTTTGTAAAAATCAGAAGATCCAAGTTGCAAGCATGCATGAACGTGATTTTCATAATTTTAATTAGTAAAAATTATGCATCTAGGAAAAAGAATAAGTTGATAATAGAAACTAAAATTGATTGCTTCAGTATACAAGTGCTCATGTTGCTAAAAGCAACAGAGCATATAACAACTTGACGACGAAATTCTCTTTGTCTAGATTACCCCAGTTTTATTTTTAGTAAAATAGATACTGGAATTGGATATCTATCATTGAGGACATTGTATTTAGCAAGGACTGCTATACAATAAAACACTCCGTTAACTATCTCTTAAATAGGGTACTTGACAGGATCATTTTAATCAAATTGTCTGATTAAATTCTCTTTCTCCAATGTTCCATCCATATCCAAACTTGTAACAAACGATTTTTGCAGAATTGCAATATATAAGGATTTGCAATAGATACATAAATTGAAATATACAAATAATATCCAACCATTTCAACCCAAAAAAAATCTGACACAAGTTGATCAATGTGAGTAAATCATTAGCAAAAAAGAAAAAAGAAGAATGAACTTGCCCCTAATGAGGCGGGAATGGGAGGCTTTTTTTATTACATACTGTTTGTATTATTATATTATATATAATGTATTTATTAATATTAATATTAATCTACATATTTAAGATCTGAACCTAATAGCTATAGCTTTAACATTCCAACTTTAATCACAAAACTAATCTTGTGTTTAATTTTATAAATTTTGGTATTATTAATTAACTTTTTCCTAAAATGAAATGGATTAATTAGAAAAATATGAAAAATTCGTGGGCCTCGCACCCCCTATGGCAATTCCTCACCTGCCCATCTAAATAGAGGATGAGGTGGATGCGAGATGGGGATGAGGATGTCACCATCCCATCCTATTGACATCCCTATGAGAGTGAGTGAGTGAGTGAGTGAGAGAGAGAGAGAAAGTTTGAACTTGGTTGCTCATCTTGTTTCGATAAGCTCTTCTAAACTTATGTGATTCTATGGGACCAGGGGCGACACGATTTTAGCTTTTTGGTGGAGGATGCAGGGTGCTAGCATAAAGAGCTTTGTTCTGGCTTAATTTCTTTGGGAGGTGAGGCAGGACCACCAAGTTTGAAGGAAGGGATATGAAATACATTAGTATATTCACTACAAATAAAGATGAGGCTGACATGAATGACGATAATAGTGGTATAATTGTATTCGACACATCTGGACCCTGTACAATGCTGGGCCAGGCCTGATTTTGGGATACCACTATCTACTATATCGTAATTGGTATGAAACTATTCACTTAAAAAGTGGTTGCTGGGCTAACACTAATACAAGGTAAATCACCCTTGCTACATTCTAGAGAACGATAATGATGGAATGTTATGCTTAAAAGCACAAAATTATATATATTACATCCATCATTGTGTCCCCAAATCTTAGTCTTACACGATATTAGGGAACAAGAATACAAATTTCTTCTGGCAGTTATTTGGCTACTAGGATCAGCAGGCTGGTCCTTCTTTTCTTTTTTTTTCCTCTTTTTTTGCTTGGGAAGAAAGAAAGATCAGCCAATGTAACCCTCATAGAAAATTTGTAGGCAAACTAGAAGCAACCGAGTATTAAAATCACATTCCAATCTGATTGTCGTATCCCAAGATCTGGTCTTACATGCAAATAGGAATCAAGAGTGCATTCTGATTTCAGTTATTTGCAGGCAAATCAGAAAGATCAGCCAATGTAACCCTAAGAGAAAATTTGTAGGCCAATCAGAAGCAACCGTGTAGAATGATCGCATTCCAAGCTATCTATCGAGCAAAAGCACAGGCTTTAAGCGGATAATACATCTGATGCGGCTAGAACAGATAAACAAACGCATCGGATATCATCAAGTGGAGGAAGATACCTTCGTCTTCGAGATCGGCTTCCAACAGGGGTTGAGCGGAGGCGTGGAAACGGCCGCATTTCTTTGCGATCGATGTATTTATATCGGAAATCGTCGACTTCGCGAAGAACTTTCCAGAGACAATTGCGGTGAAAAAGGCAGCAGCATTTCCGTCCCGAACCCGGTTCGAAGCGGTCAAAAGTCTGGGTTGGGCTTTGACGGGGCCGGGGATAACGGATCGGGGTTCGTTTCACGCTCGTGCCCATAATTATCACCCCGTTGATAATTATCACAGTGTCATTGATTTCTATGTATGAGTGATGTCTCGTGATAATCACAGTGATATATATATATATATATATATATATATATATATATATTCTGCATCTTTTAGATATTCAAGATGCTAGATTAATTTATTGATCGGCCTCTAATGAAGATAAGATTTATTCATTTTCATTAAGTAACATCATCAACCACGATCAAAGACAAGGGTGATGAGAGTTCATAGAATTTACAATTTTGCACTATTCAGAGTCATTTTACACACAAAGCACAGAGCAATCAGAGATCAAACGAGTATCGGCCGACACTTCATCGAAAAGGGATGGAAACCGATACAATTTGTCGGTTGCAAGGGAAGGAGGAAACAGAGAGAGGATTCCACATGAAAGGGAGGACTCAGTCGTACTTGTCGCTCCAGCAGTAGACGAGGAAGAGAAGCCAGGAAAGGCCAAGGACGAGGTCACCTACGAGCTGGCGAGGCCAGTCGCGGGCGAGGCAGTCGACGCGGCGCTCGAAGCAGACGCGCCAGAGGGCAACGGCGGCATGGAGCAGGGCGCAGCCCTTGGCGAAGAAGGCCTGGAAGTCGCGGTCCTCCACGAAGGCCACCATGAAGAGCAGGAGGCCGATGGCGAAGAGCAACAGCCCGGCGAAGGAGTCGGAGGTCTGGATCAGCAGCTGGTCGCGGGGGGTCGACCCCTGCAGCAGCCGCGCCGCCGTCTCCCGCCCGTGCCCCACCACCATGGCCTCGTTCTGGTAGAACATCATCAGCGCCCCGCACGTCGTCGCCGCCACCGCGTGCAGCAGGCAGATCGAGAAGAATCCCGAGGAGGAAGGAGAAGATGCTGATGCCATTACAGTAGTTTAGAAAGTCTCGAAAGGCATTGGATTTGGGAGCAAAACAAGAAGAGCGGAAGAAAGATGATAAGCATTGGAGGGGGTCCTCACTGTAATGATAAGCGTAGGATGGCGAGCAAAGGGGACAAAGGGGGAAGCTGGATGACGATAACGCTACCAAATAAATAAATAGTCGACACCTATCGAGACAGACAGGAAAGATTAGTCCCATTACCAGTAGAGACGGGTGGTGGCGCCCACGTCACCACCTCCCTTAATTTTCTGCCACTTGTCCCATCTCCGTCGTCCTGAAGAGATACTTTGTGAACGAGATAATTGGTCACCCGGCTGTTATATTGGAACGGAACCGTTATACGAAGCCGATATAAACCCTGGATACAACACAACCAGATCCAATACAAGTCAAATAATGCCGCAACCCACCAATTCATCCGAAATGTTGTTGGGATTGGATTCAGAGGGCAACATCACGAGAGACCAACATCGATATGTCCATGATTCCTGACCCATCTCAACTACTGCTTTAGCAGCAGCAGATTTGAGGTGAAGAGACATCCACCTGTAAGGACAAAGAGGGAACAAACAGTACACGAGAACACAAACAAATTAGCATCGATGGGATACTTGGATAATAACACTATACCAGCTAGTTGCCCAAACTTAATGGAAATTCATCAACCGGTATCTGCAAAAGCTGAGAGGGTGTAACTTCATTTAGGCTATATATAACAAGATAAAAACTTAGGCCCTCACCGATGAAAGGCCATAAACAATTCCTTGCAACTACATAAAATTGATGATTTGTTCTATGATCGCTCCAATTATGGAACTCTAAAACTATCTATACTAAGATCACCAGAGGTATGTCTCGACTATACCAATTTGGCTCCCACCAACACCCCTCATGATGCGGGTGCATGCTCTGAAACTGGATCAGATAATATTGATGGTGACGGAGCTAAATTACTTGAATCTTTTGGTTCCCCGCTGAAGTTAAAATCCTTCAGCTGATTTGTTGCCTGACTAGGTGTATACCTGATGACTCACTAGTTGAATTGTTGACAGGATGACTAACATTTGATACAGCAGCCATTGGTGGTGCAGAAAAGATGCAGCACCCTTTAAATAAAATCATGAGAGATGACGGACAGCAGTGTGAATTGGTTAAGGGACAGGCTCAGCACTCCATTGACAACAGAAATAACCTCTTGTTCTCTTGTTTCGGGTCAGGTCCTCCAGCACTCCATTGACAACAGAACATTGATTCAAGGAGGATACACGTGCTGATCGATGGTAGCATCATGTGATTCATCGATATCATAATCTAGGGATGTCATGACACCATCTTCGTCGACATAGGAAAGAACAAAATCAGATTCTGGACCAATTCGAAGAGGTTGACAATTTTCTTTCTGAACCGAGTCATATTGTGATGCATTCTTGGTGACGGTAATGGACTCCCCATTACTTATACTGATTTCACAATACTTAATTCACATAGCATTTCGTTTATGTTAGACGATATTTTGTGTGCACCCCACGTCAAAAGAAACATCATTTCTGTTTCTCAATTCTACAAACAGAATCATACCTCAATTGAATTCTTTTCTAACTCCTTTCTTGTTAATGATTTGAGCACGAAAATATCCTTAGTCCGAGGCCAGAATAAAAATAATATTTACGAGTGACCGTTAGTTCCACAAATCACCCAATCCACTACCTACTCTTCGGTCGCAGCTTCAACTGATGTGTGATATCGTCGTCTTGGTCATCCCTCAATTTTTATTTAGTAAAAATTACTTTCTTATTATTCTCTTCCTACGCTTACAATCAATAATATCATAACTCATTGTGATGCTTATTTAAGTAATAAAAGTCATAGACTTCCCTTCGGAAAATCCTCCATATCTTGCTCTAAACTCCTTGAGGTATTTACACTAATGTTTGGGGCCCCGCTCCAATCACTTCCTTTAACAAATTTAGATTTTATGTTATTTTCGTAGACTAATTCACCAAATACATATGGTTATACCCTCTTCACCATAAATCTGAAGTTTCAACAGTCTTTACCAACTTTCGAAGATTAGTCGAGAACTTTTTTCAGTCTAAAATTAAAACTATTTACTCCGATGGTGACGGTGAATATCAAGCCCTCACATCCTGCCTATCTGCTTGTGGTATACAATACCTCAAGTCACCTCCACACACTCCTCAACTCGTCGGCTCTACTGAATGCAAACATTGATATATAGTTGAAACTGGTCTCACACTCCTACACCAAGCCTCTATGCTACCAACTTTTTGGACTATAGCATTTCAAGCTGCCGTCTACCTCATTAATCGTATGCTCACTCCTGTCCTTGAGTACGAGTCACCATTTGAAAGTACGAGTCACCATTTGGATGTTTATGTTATCCATGGCTCCGTCCCTATGCCTCACATAAGTTAACATCAAAATCTAAACCTTGTATTTTCATTGGATACTTCGTTGACCATAATGCTTTTCGATGCTATGAACCCTAATCTCATAAAGTCTTTCCGTCCTGTCATATTATTTTTATAGAGACTACCTTTCCGTTTCATAACCCTGAGTCTCCTACTGTGCGACCTACTCCATCACATATATGTCACTGGAGTATGCCATCAATCTCGTCAACCGAGTCTCCCATAATATCATCCAGTCCTTCTCCTCAAGATCTACACTCTCTCCTTCTCCCGATGCAACAGCTCCTCACCCCCTTCATTGTGCCTCTCTCTTCTTCACAAGGTTCCCCTACGAGTGAAGGTATTCCCTCGGAATCACATTCACTACCTTTATCCTCTTTTGGGGCCAATGACACTGAAGTCTCTCAGCCTACCCTAATTTGTGCCCCTCCACCGCCCATACCTATAACACCCTCTATAGCCCCTGGACATCCAATGACAACACGCTCCAAAAGTGATATTCACCGCCACCATCGGAGTAAATAGTTTTAATTTTAGACTGAAAAAAGTTCTCGACCAATCTTCAAAAGTTGGTAAAGACTGTTGAAACTTCATATTTATGGTGAAGAGGGTATAACCATGTGTATTTGATGAAATAGTCTATGAAAATAACATAAAATCTGAATTTGTCAAAGGAAGTGATTGGAGCAGGACCCAAACATTAGTGTAAATAACCTCAAGGGGTTTAGAGAAGATATAGAGGATTTTCCAAAGGAAAGTCTATGACTTTTATTACTTAAACAAGCATCACAATGAGTTATGATATTATTGGTAGTAAGCGTAGGAAGAGAATAATGAGAAAGTAATTTTGCTGAATAAAAGTTGAGGGATGACCAAGATGACGATGCCATACATCAGTTAGAGCTGCGACCGAATAGTAGGCAATGGGTTGGGTGATTTGTGGAACTGACGGCCACTCGTAAATATTGTCTTTACTCTGGCCTTGGACCAAGGATGCCCCCATGCTCAGATCCTTGACAAGAAAGAAGTTAGGAAAGAATTCAATTGAGGTATGATTCTGTTTGCAGAATTGAGAAATAAAAATGAGGTTTCGTTTGATGTGGGGTGCACACAAAACATCATCTAGCGTAAACGAAGTGCTATGTGAATTAAGCATTGTGGAACCAGTATGAGTAATGGGGGAGTCCGTTACCGTCACCGTTGATGATATCTTCGTGTCCGCCATAGTTGTTGTGGATGGACAAGTTTTGTAAATCAGAGGTGATATAATGAGATGCGCCAGAGTCCACAATCCAATTTTGATGACCAATAGTCGGAGTAGCTATAAGATTTGCACAAGGCCAATGTGATGGAGGAGGAAGTCTGGGTCGAGTTCTACAGACTTTTACAGAGTGGCCAACTTTGTCAGATAATTGGTAGAAAGCTCTTTGTTGATTTGTGTGATCAGGACGCCAGGGTTAAGGATAATTGAAGTAGCCGCCTTGATGGTTGTAATTGAAATATTGAGGAGGGAAGGTTTGTTTGGAGTGTAAGCATGCTGGCCAAACCTTTGTTGATAGATTTGTTGTACCGGTTGCTCTTTTTCTTAGATTTTTGACTGACTTGAACTGTGATGGATGGTTCTGGCAACTTGTCCTCATGCTTGAGATATATCTCATAATCAATCAACTTATCATAAAGTTCTTCAAATGACACTAGTGAATCACATGCGCATATTGCTGTTGCTAATTCCTTGTACTCGTCTCCTAGGTCGTTGAGGATATGGATAGTAACTTCTTCATCACTGAAGGAATGACCTATCAAGGCCAAGTTATCGATGATAATCCTTATATTATGTAGATAATCAGTAACAGTACTTCCCTCTTGTTTTATCGTCATAAGACTGGACAGGAGACTAAGCATGCGAGTATAGGAACGATTGACTAGGGTGGTTTGCAACTTGCACCAAGCTTCGGCAGCAGTGTCACATGAAGAAATGAGTGGGGTGAGGGATCCAACGACCGAGGCTTGAATAGATTGAAGAATAAGACGATCCTGGCGTAACTATAATTTATGGTTCGGATTTGGTACTAGACTAGGTGCGCTTGGGATGTTGAGCATCGCCGGTGGATAACGAAAAGAGCCATCGACATAGCCTAGAAGATCATAGCCAAATAGTAGATTAGAGAATTGAGCACGCTAGGATGTGTAGTTGCCAACTTTGGATAATTTGAAGGGGATGAGGGTTGCTGCATTTATGAAGATAAGGCCTATATGTGGGAAAGTACTGTGGTTCCCTGCAGAAATAGTAATGGGAGCATCAAAGATAGATGATGAGGACATATGGAGGATATGTACCAATATATGAGAGCAACTAGAAGTCTGTAGCAATGACAATGATCATGGAGGAAGAAGCAGCTGCAGCAAAGAGGGCTACAGTAGAGAGGGCTACTGTGAGTGCGACAAAGAGGGCTACTATGAGTGCGACAAAGAGGGTTGCTGCAGCTGCGACAAAGAGGGCTGCTGCGGCTGCGAGGGCTACTGCGGCAAGGACGACGGCAACGACACTTCTCACTCGAGCGAGGTACAGGAACGAGGAGGAGAGGTCACTGGTCGGGGAGCAGTTGCGAGGTTGTGTCAGCTTTGCTTCTGCAGGGAGAGGCAGAGGAAGGGCGGTTGTAAAGAATGCCACCAGCGTAAGGAGGAAGATGCCGTTGTTGCTACTGCCTTTCGCCAAGGAAAAACATCGCACCTGATGGCGACACCGGGTGCGATCACGGTGGGAACAACGATGGAGGGGGGAGCGACTGAGATGGAGTCACGGTCCACGAGGTAGTAGGAGAAGGAGCCGAGATTTGATGGAGTCCGACGGGGAGAGGGGTCTACTTCGAGATATTTAAAAGTGACCTTCACGACGAGAGCTCTGATACCATGATATAAATGAAATAGAAAGAAGAAGATTGTATTGATTGAAACAATATACAATACTCCTTATTTATACATGTTTAGAAGGGAGAATTTTCCTCAATAGAGAAGGATTTTACTTAATAGATTTACGATTTCTCATCATATAGTTAGAGAGATCTTGACAGGTTATTATTACGGGAGATCTTGACTGTTATCACTTTTCACTTACTAATTTACATGCATATGGTTCCAGAAACAAATGCTAATTTGAAGCAATTAGAACCTGAAAAAAAAATCATATAATTGCTCTATATTTTGAGAGAATTACATCAATATTCAAGAATTTGTTGGTCCGACATTGGAAAACTTACAAGAAACCATATAAATCAACCCATTTTGCAAAAGAGATTTTAGACAGAGACGTAATAAATAAGATGGTTTTCCAAAAAAAATCCTCTCCTTTTGGGCTTTCGCCGGAAGATGTACCTTTTCAAATTTCCCTAGCAGCCCACCCTTTTTTACCTAATTATACCATTGATTTGACAACCAGCCACTTACCTCTTCCCTCCTTTTTCCCTTTTTCCACTGTGTTACAATGTTAATATTGGTATTACTGAAAATATTATAACTCAGTATAAAAACACTATACTTAAGTTTTTTTAGATTATTGATTCCTATACATAATATAGTAATCATAAGTATTTTTTTCATAAGGATACATAAGCAAGGTTAATAAATATTTTTTTAACATTTTTTCAGTTCATTTCTCTTTGTTAAGAGTGTTTTGTAATAAAGTTTCAGTGTTTTTAAAAATGTGTCAAAAACATTGTACCCACGGTAAGTCATATGGCAGTCAATTATTTGAATGTTATTTATAAATGGAGAACCATTTTCAAAATGAACATTTTCTTAAACATCCTCCATTTAAGAAAATAAACATTCAAATAATTTGACTTTATATGAGATACAGTATTTTTCAACATGGTTATAGTGTTTTTGGCTTATTTTCAAGAACAATATAACTCTATTACAAAACACTGACCGAGGGAAATAGACTGAAAAATATTAGAAAAATACTTATGAACCTTGTTTATATATTTCTTGGGAAGAAATATTAGAAAAATACTTATGATTCCTATACTTGGTACAGGAATACTAAGTCACAGTGTTTTAATACTAAGTTGCAGTATTATCAACAATACCAAGAAAATACTTGTAACACAGTAAAAAACACATTGTAACTAAAGTAGGGAAAAGGAGAGAAACTAAGGAAAAAACGATAGATGGCTGACTATCAAATCAAGAAATGAAGGCATCTTCCAAGAAAAGCCCAAAAATAGGAACTATTCTTTTGGGAAATCACCCTAATAAATACTAGCATTATACAGAAAAAAGATTGACCCTGGAACCAAAATGTAAGAAACAAACAATCAGCCAGATAGACCACTAGTAGGAGTCTTTCATCTGGGATGCTCAACTTTTGTTGTCAAACTACAATATATCACATTTCTAAGAAAATCATTGAAATAAAATCATTACTATACATCAAACATAACAAAATTATATATATATATATATATATATATATATATATCAAACAACACAAAAACCACAATTTAAGAAACCCAAAATGGGAAGGAAAGGTATTAAGATCCCCAACAAACAGTCAATATTTGAATAATGATGAGCCTGAGCCAAACTTAACATATATCAAGTCAAACACGAATTCAAACCCCAAACTTAACATACTAGGTTATGAGCCAAACCTAATATATATAGTCCGACTCTTTCAATCTTTAAGACTATCCATCTATATTTTTTATCTGGACTATCCTCTTAGTTCATCTCACTTTTATCTCACACGTATGAACATTTTTCGTTCGCATCTTTTTCTATCCTCTTAGTTCATCTCACTTTTTTTATCCTCTTAGTTCATCCTCTTTTTTATCTGGACTATCTCGCACTTTTATCCTCTTAGTTCATCTCATTTTTGGTTCACACATCCATGTCTACCCGTGGTGGCATATCTTTTCTACATGTTAAGAGACGGTTCACCCTGTCCATCTCTTAAGGGTTTATTTAGTTTCATGGTAGGATGCGAGACTATCTTCGCAGTCCATCTTTCTTTATCATACAAATATAAATATTCTGGATAAAAAAATATAGAAATTTAATCGATAGAAAGAAAAATAAAAGAGAGACGAAAACAAGAAGAAAAAGTAGAAGAGAGCCAATAAATCAGACCTTGATCAAGAAATCCCACTCCGTCGAAGAATAATCGATCAGCGAACGGTGCCCGCGCATCTGTCAGACGCCTGGGTGACGTTCCGCCATCCACGAAAGAAGCACGAGAAGCTTCTCGAACGACCCCTTTTCTGGAAGAACGACGGCTATTAATTTTGGTCAAATCAGAAAGATGGACCCGACCGCGTGAGAACGCAGGATGGTCGAAGTCAACGCCCAAGGGTTCTTCTCCACTTCGATCTCTTTCTTGCATCCAATCGAATCGCAAACGTGAGGCACAAGGCAACGAACCTTCCACATCCCTTCCAACTGCCTCCATATAAATCGAGCGGCCTTCTTCATCCCCTTCCAACAAAGCCAACATCTTGCGTGCCTCTTCTGCCTTCCATGGAGAAAAGCAGCTCCGTCGGGGCGTCATGGGCGGACCAATGGGACTACAGCAATCACGGCAGCGGCGGGCAGGTGCTGGAGAAGAAGAAGAAGAGCAGTGGCAGAAGCTGGAAGAGCGGCATGGAGAAGACGAAGGCCGTGGCTGTGTTGGGTTTCAACAAAGCTAAGGAGGGCAGCAGCAAAGGATTCCACTGGATCAAAGACAAGTACCAAAAGACGACCCAAAAGCACTAATCTTCACCATAAACCATATATTAATATGATGATCGGTTTCTTCTAGCTGTCTCTGTATGTAGCTTCTTCCAGAATTATCCAGGATGTGAAACAGGAGGGGTTTGTTTCTGTCTTCTTGCTTATTCCACACAGCTCAATATTTGATTGGTTCGTTGTCTTGTTTAATCTGGTTGTCAACTTTATAAAAAATATTATTTCACTAATTTGAATCCAAACTGTTGTTGTTTTCTTGGTAAAAGTTGTTGGGTAAATTTTCGATAATTTTTTTATTTTTTTTCAAAAATTATTCTCGTTAGTGACACTATTTTTTATGAGTTTGAATTATATTGATAAAAAAATATACAGTATAATGTCTTATTTATACACGTGGGATGGACGAATTTTCTTCAATCGTCCAGCAAGATTTCTTCGTGCAATTGAGGAAATCTTATATGCTATTATGCCCTAGCAATATTAAGCTCATATCAAGAATGTTAATCTTGGACTGATGTAACAAAAATAGTCAGCGGGCGAGAGACTTTGTGAGTGAGTCTACTAGTTGATTAGCTATGTAAGAAACATGTAGTTGATGTCTGACAACTTGAACTCACACAAAGCAGAAGTCGATGACAATATGTTTCATGTATGAATGAAACACCAGATTGACACATAGGTAGATAGCTCCAATATTATCACAATATATTGTAGGAGGAGAGATAGAGTTGACGTTGAGTTCCTTGAGTAGATTTATGACCCAATTGAGCTCAATAGTAGTAGTGGCGATGACACGGTATTCAGCTTTAGTTGTATATCGTGCGATTGTTTTATGCTTTTTAGAACTCCAATTGATTGGATTAGCTCCAAGGAAAATAATATATCCCGAAATGGATATTCTATCATCAAAGTTTCATGCTCAATCAATATCAACAAAGGCATGGAGATAAAGGAGGGTGTGTTTGCGGAGAAAGATGTCATGATTGAGGATCCCCTTAAGATACCGTAAAATTTGTTTGATTGTAGACCAATGCATAGTAGATGGCCAATGCATGAATTATGATAATTTATTGATTGTAAATGAGATATCTAGACAGGTAAGAGCCAATTACTGTAAGAAGTCAAGTACTTGTCGGTATTGAGTAGAGTCCGTAGTAGGACTTATTGGGAACGAGTCGATATTAAGAGGAGGGGGGTGAATTAGTGTAGCGGATAAAATCACGTCGGTTTGAAAATCTTTCGTACGATAAAAATCAAACTCGGAAGATAACTTGAAATTCAATGCTTGTTCGTAAGCGTAGTGAAAGCAAAGTAAGGAAGATATTTTATAATAAAGGTAAATTGCTCAAAAAGATATGCAAACTGATTTATAGTGGTTCGGTCATTGTGACCTATATTCACTTCCGATTCCTCTTTCGTTGAGGCCATCGGCTTTCACTACGGATCTTCCTTCAATGGGCGAAGATTAACTACCCTTACAACTCAATTATCTTTTTGATAGGTTCAGGGGAGAACCTTTACAACCCCCACTTACTCCTTTCTTAAACTACACTAATACTTAGAGCTTTTGAGAGAAGTTCTCACAAGATTACAATAGCGTTTTTCTACCTTTTTGCTCTCAATTCTTATGTAATTTAACCAGGGATGAGAGGGATATTTGTAGGCCTCAAGTGGATTTAAACTTAGAGCCTAAAAGAGTCTCATCCCAGGTTTCCCGGGTCTTGGCGGTACTGTTGGGAAATCTTGGGGGTGGCATCACATGCGCAGCGGAAGAACAGAAAAATAAAATCTCCAATATCCCAAAACGATGTTCGTTGTCGTGCAAAGATTGGTGCATAAAATCCGTAAAATACCTAGGGAGATCGTATATCCCTGAATCCTTGTAGATCTCTAGGAGAGGGTGAAGGAGGTTAAGCGCCCTCCTCTCTAGCGGTGATTCACACAACAGAGTTGTGACGATGCTCCTCAAAACTCCAGGCCTGCTCTGAGGTGGAGAAGGGGAGGAGAATAGGAGAGACAAGCAAAGGCTCTAGCCTATGAACCACTGAATCCCTCCTATTTATAGATGTCCCATTTCAACTTAACCCTAATGAATCCTCCCTTATTGGGTATTGGATCTTCATACAGGGGAATCCAATCCATTGGACCTTTCTATCCTCAGTTACCATATAGCTATAGTCTCTCATTCATCTAATATCCCAAAGACCGTATACTGGGCATGGTGCTGTCAAACTCATACGATTTCTTCTCGAGTCTTGCTCTAATCGGATTTTCCTGGATAACTCTTTCTCTCTCAATCCGAGTGACCCTAGCTAGGGATTTGTTTGAGCAAGAACACATGAGATATTCCTCTCATGACACCGAGAGCGGATGATCCTCTATCGACACTCAATAGCTCTCGTAAGGTTGATTGCCACTCCCGATGATCGGTTGTACTAGATTTGGGACATCCAAACCTATAAGTCTGGTATCAAAGAATGAAGTACTTATATAGGACATCCTTGGTGTCTCAAGTCTAAGGACCAAATACACCACTAGGACTACGGAATCGCTATTTGACAATAAGGTATCATCAACCATCCAGTATTTCGTAAGTGGATCAATCATTGAACTCATTCTCCAATGAGCACATGTATTGTATCCCTAGCGTCCCCACACGAGCAACTATGAGACCAGCTGCATCCATCATATGGACGGGTATACAGCACACTAGTCTGTCCGGTTATCTCGATGTCCCTCTCGAGTAACCTATGACCAGGATTATTAAGGATCTGTGTTTAAAGGCGAATCGATCTCATTATCGTGATCTCATCATGATCCGATTCTTATTGCACAGATCCAAGGACATCACAATATATATATGTATATATGCAATAGTCAATATAAAGTAATAAATACCAAAATATAATAAGTAAAATGACTGTATGTCAAGTCACACATGCCATCACTCATGTGATTGGCTTGCTGGGCACCTATGACTAGCAATCTCCCACTTGACCTAAAGCCAATCACCTATGTGTTTGATCCCCATCAGACCCTTGTAACACTCAAAGATAATTTGAGACAACGGCTTTGTCAGTAGATCTGCAATGTTATCTCCGGATGGAACTCTTTCTACTGCTATATCTCCATGGGTTACAGTCTCTCTAATAAGATAGAACCTCCTCAGAACACTTCTGATGAGACTCGGGTTCTCTTATTTGAGTAATCACCCTATAGTTGTCGCAATATAATGGAATCGACTCCTCGCTACCCAGCACAACTTCTAGATCTGTGATGAATTTTTTTATCTAGACTCCCCCCTTTGCTACCTCTACGGCAACAATATACTATGCCTCTATAGTCGAGTCAACATTAGTATCTTACTTGGAACTTTTCCAGCACACTGCTCCTCCATTCAAGATTTATGTATTCCCCGAATTTGACTTGCTATCATCGACATCAGACTGAAAACTCGAGTCTGTATAGCCTTCAACCCTAAGGCTACTACCTCCATATATTAGTAAAAGATCCTTAGTTCTTCTCAAGTACTTAAGGATACTCTTTATTGCTTTCTAGTATTTCAAGCTTGGATCCGCCTGATACCTACTCGTGACACTTAGAGCATACACTATATCTGGCCTGGTATATAGCATAGCATACATGATAGACCCTATTACTGATGTATAGGGTATCCCATCCATGTTCGCCCTTTCTTCAGGAGTCTTTGGGGACATACTCCTAGAAAGCGATATCCCATTTCTCATCGGTATGAGACCTCTCTAGGAATTTTCCATACCAAACTTTTTGATAATAGTTTCTATGTACCTGGACTAGGACAAGCCAAGCATCCTCTTGGATCTATCTCTATTGATCTGAATCTCTAAGATATAGGATGCTTCCCCTAAATTCTTCATGGAGAAGTGTCTAGATAACTAAGTCTTAACTATGGATAGCATTCTTACATCATTCCCAATTATCAGGATGTCATCCACATATAATACCAAAAAGGTGATAGCACTCCCACTTACCTTTCTATACACACAAAGCTCATCTTCGTTCTTAACGAAGTCATAAGATCTGATTGCCTCATCAAATCTTATGTTCCAACTTTGGGAAGCTTGCTTTAGTCCATAAATGGATCTAAGCAACCTACACACCTTATTTGGGTAGTCCTTGGACACGAATCCCTCGAGTTGTATCATATATACCTCCTCCTCGAGGTTCCCATTGAGGAATGTAATTTTCACATCCATATGCCAGATCTCATAATCATAGTGTACTGCAATAACCAATAGAATTTGGATAGATTTTAGCATTGCTACGGGTGAGAAGATTTCATCATAGTCAACACATTGCCTTTAACGATACCCCTTAGCCACTAGCCTTGCTTTATAGGTCTCTACCATTCCATCTACTCCGATCTTTTTCTTAAAGATCCACTTGCAACCGATGGGTACAATATCTTCGGGTGCATCAACTAGGTTCCAAACCTTGTTGGAGTACATAGAATCCATCTCAGAATTCATGGCTTCTTGCCACTTCCCGGAGTCTATACTCATAATAACCTCCTCGTAGGTTTGAGGATCAATGTCCTCAACATCCTATCTTCTAATATGTCCCACATATCTCTCAAGAGGATGAGATACTCTACTAGACCTACGTAAAGTTAGAACTTATGTATTAGGTACCTGAACATACTTGGGCTGTAGAGTAATGCTTGAGCTAGGTTCTCCAACCTTGCTCAACTCTATCATGCTCCTATTGTCTCTGGCAAGAATGTGTTCCTTTTCAAGGAATATCACTCTCTTGGCTATAAAGACCTTTTGGTCCTCGAGATGATAGAAATAATACCCACAAGTTTCCTTGGGATATCCCATGAACTTGCACCACTCCGTCCTTGATTCTAACTTATCGGAGTTATGTCTTTTAACATAGGTAGGGCAGCCTTAAATCTTAACAATCTTAAGATCGGACTTCTTCCCTTTTCATATCTCATATGGTGTAGACACTATCGACTTAGTTGGAACTCTGTTCAGAAGGTAAGCTATGGTCTCTAGGGCATATCCCCAGAATGAGATGGGTAGGTCAGCGAAACTCATCATGGACTATATCATGTCTAACAGCGTATGATTTCTCTTTTCAGACACACCATTGAGCTGAGGTATATAAGGAGGTGTCCATTGACATAAAATCTCATGGTCCTTGAGGAACTCGAGAAACTCTATACTTAAGTACTTACCTTCTCGAT